TTATTCAAAGATCAAAAGCATTTTCCCTTAGGTGATTATTTTATTAATTCTCATAAATGTTTCTTTTTAATGAGGTATTGATACTGTTAGGGAGTAAATTGATGTTTGTCAGATCACTTTTGCTAAAATTGCAATCAACCATCTTAACCCCATGTCACTAAGATTTCAAGTTGCCAGGTAAATACAACAAGTCGGCTGGGAATAAAAAAAAAGCTAAGGATTTTTTGGTTCTATTTGTCTATTTTCCTATGCAACTAGCTGGGCCATGTTCAAAATACTCTAAGGTAATCCCAGGTTAGCGTCCTAGTCTGAGCATCTCTGCTACCTACAACAATTTAAGCCAAAGAGCTAAAGATTTCATGATTTGTCATTTTATTGTTTTTGCTTTGTGTCAGGTACAAATAGTGGCGACATCTGATCTTGTGGAAATACAACTCATCTGGCTGCTTAACAACATTGAAAAACAAGTGTGCAATGGAGTCTCTTACTTACAGTAAGTTTTTAACTCGTACTGTTTTATTTTGCACTACCTTGTACAGTGTTATAAACATTACCTCAGAAAAGTACCGATCAGTAACTTTCATTTGAATGGTAACTCTATAAGATTTCATCCACAGAATCAAAAGTTAGAACCACCTTATGCAACATAATAAACAGTACCACAAGAAAGTACTGCTGAGCTCAGAAGCTTTCATTTGAATGGTCACACTATAGGATTTCATCCACAGACTCTTAAGTTAGAACCACCTTGTACAGCATGAAAAGTAGCTATCATTTGAAGTCGCACTTAAGGATTTTTCAGGACGTCCAAACTACATTCTTTCCTGTTGTTTTTCCAGCTCGTAAAGTTCCCTTGTTGATCTTCAGTGGTGGAAGCAATGGCCATGTGTCAAAATGGGAAAGATTACAATCAAACAACTTCATGTACAGGTTACTAAAAACATAGCAGTCTATACCACCACAGAATAATTTAAGATTGTAAAAATTTTATTAAAAACAACTTTCAATTTCATAGTGTTAATTTATGGCTCTTGCATGAAGCCTGTCGACCATAAATTGGAGAGAAAACAAATAGGTTCTCCTTTGACTTTTTTTTACTTCTACAGTTCATAGTCTAGGTGAATTTATGATCTCAGTTTCTTATAGAGTCACGGCGGCCATATTGGTGTCCCAAACCAGTCCTCTGGGAGTTGAACTCTTTTCTTATGCAAACCCTTTCTTTTGTTCCAATAAATTTGCATAGATGCTGGCCACGTGAGTGAAAACACTGTGTTTTTTTCATTTTGGATTTTCCTTGCTTACTTCTAGCAAAGAGATATTTTTGCAAAGCGAGGCCAAATCACGGCTGACTGCACAGATAGCTGCAAAGTACGACTGGCATGGACCAAAGAGGATTCTGGGTAATGAGAGCAGACCCAAGCCATCCTTCCTGAATACTGTCAACCAGGTAAAGAACTCAAATACTGCATTAGCGTATTATCACTATTTTTAATGTTTTATTAGCAACGTTTTTAAAGGATCATGCTTGAAATAAATGGCCTAACAGGAGAGTGTTAATTATGACCTTGTTGCTCGCAGTTGCAGAAACTTGGATTTGAAACTTGTGTTCAACGGCATTTTTCCAAAACATTTCAGCGAACATTTTACCCCTGTAGCAGAACAGTTTTAGTGCCTTGTGACTGAATCAAATGTCTTGCGGCACGTTCTTAACCAATCTAAATCAGTGGTGATTTGCTGACATGTGTTTTCCGGCGCTTACGACAAGCGCTGATTGGTTCATGTAATTTACAGTACGTATTATGACTGGATAAAGAAATCTCCATGGTTGTGATTTTTATTATATTTACAATTAAGTAGTCGTTCATTACTCCGGAAAAGGCAAGCTTAGAAAATTAGTAGTATCACAGTTCTGCCCAAAATTCCATTTTCTGCCTTTCTGTTTTTATCTATAGTTATCATCTGCCTCTGAACACACCAGCAACATTTCTCTGTTGAGGTCCATCTTTGTGGAGAACCTTGATTTACTAGTGGTCGCCTCAGAAGACAATAATATCTGTAAGTAATCGCAATAAAGACAAATTAACCTCTTCAGCCAGTAGAGTTTAAAAGCGTCGAAGAAATAAAAGTTTATCGTCTATTTTTACAGTACACCTTGAAATCACAGAGATATGAACAGCTGGTGAACCTTTGTACCACTACTGGTTTTAGAGAAGGGTCAACCGTCGATGTTGGGAGGCTACATGTTCTTGCGCATGCCTAAATTCTTCCTTTTGCCCAATTTGCTACGCATGCTAAAACAGTACGATATGCAAACAAGAGCTTTCACTGAATGGTGCTGGATTCCCTCAGTGACCGTTAGAGCGCTTATTTGCAACGAGATTTTGTGGTTTTGATCCCTGGCCAGAGTCAGACCAATACTTGTGGTCGTAAAATAGTGTCTAAAAGAAGTTTTGCTGAGCTTCATGTGACATGGATAATCACGTGATACGGGCGAGCACGTCTCCAGAAGGCGGCGTAATTTCTCCATGCTCGATACGTTCATGCTTAACTCAATAAACATTTCGTTTCTGTTAACGATTTAGATGTCTGGGGTTTTGATGAAGATGCTGTGAAAGTCCTGGAAAACATGAGGCCGGCCGATGAAAATCTGATCTATAAATATGCAATCCTGCTTGGTGAGAAAGCCTTTAAACCAATCAAGAAGGACAATGAGGTAAAATATTTGGGTCTTTTGTTTTGTTCGAAAGTGACGCCAAAATGTCCAAAGACTTTGCCTTATTTCTATGGAGTTAATATAGACCTTGGAAAATTATTGTCGATTTTATTTTCAGTTTGCAGTAACATTGACAACTTTTGCGACGTCCATTCCATTCGGTGAAGTATCTTGGATAATCTGGCGGGCTAAAAGTCACAACGACATTTCCGTGTTATTTGCTTTCATCGGTCATAGCTGTCGATTGATTAGCGCGCGAGAAATCGCTCAGTTGTAACATCTCGCTTTTTAATACTGAACACATACTTTATCTGTTTGAAACGATTAAGTGTAGGAAAGGAACTATAGAATGCTCTAGTACATAGTTGGTTTTGAATTTTGTTTCTTTGCTTTTAGGGTTCAAAAGAACATGACTCAGTTACCAACCGAGTGGCAGGATTCATCTGTAAACATGTGTTTACTGAACACAGTAGCTGTGTTACAGGACTGGCTGTAGTGGGTAAAGAAGCTGGCTATAATACAACTTACTTGGTAAGATCACTGATCGGTAGCTAATTTTTCTTCTTAGAAACACTATATTTTACCGTTTTCAATTCGTGAGATTTAAGGAAATGATTGTTTACGTTAAATTGTGTGGTTGTACTATCATAAATTCATAGATGATTTTATTAGAGAGCTTTACATTTAAGGACAAGAACGCGTACGAGTACGAAATTTAACTTAAAGTTTTTGCGCGTGTTCCCACAAAAAGACACCCCGGAAAGCTTCATCTTTTTTCCTTTTTTCACCAAAAACGTTAGTACGGTTATTTATACTGAAGGAGGTTAAGACCTCGCCCGATCGCAAATTGATAAAACTTCTTACATTTGATAACTTGTTTCCGCCACTACGACATTTTCGCCAAAACTCGTAGTAGAGTGACGACGGCTATCAAGTTTTCCCGCCAAAATGACGCCGGCTTACGCGCACGCAATACTTAGTATTGAGGGAATCTCGCACTTATAGTCGCCCTCATCATCGAATCTAAAGCTCTTTATTATAAGAAAGTCGGAACATTAGAAAAATTCGCATTCCCGAAACTACAAGGAGAATGGATACAAGCTTTGGGCACAGCCGTTTTTGGGATTGTTAAGGTAAACAAGCGATACTTATGATTGGTTAATTTTGCCTTGAATACAATAGACCAACCATAGCTAACGCTTGTATACTCTAATGATCCCAGAAATCACTGCGCCCAAAGCTTGTACCCATTCTCCCTATATAGTCATAGAGTTTATGCAGTGGGGACCTGGGGAATAGTAGAGAAGCACAAGCCGCTTGTGCGTCTCTTAAAAATTTTCATATTTTATGCAACTAAACAAGACAAAAAAAAATATTTAATTATTTTTATTATTTTTATTTTTTGATTTTTTTTTCAGCTTAGTGCTGGCTGGGACCGAAGAATCTTTTTGTGGGATTTAGAAAAAGCTTGGTGAGGCTTCGAATGTTTTCTGCGTTAACCTACCCTACCAACAACGAACAGGCTACCCTATCGACAAACTTCCTTAACACATCTTATGTCACACGTCTCGATTCATCCGTAAACAATTGGACGGATTTGGATCAGTAACTGTTTTTTTAGTTTCTCTTACAGCTGTGAAAAGTCCTTAAGTCAAGAAGTTCTTGATAGGTCCCAGAACTCTATGCATTTAAAAAAGTCTGCGAATTTCTCCCAAAACAGGATAGGTTACTGTCGCAAAGTCGTATTAAATTTAAGATCCTAAGGCCTGCCTATTATTTTGAACGACTGTTTAACCTACATTCAGTGGTTGTAGAATACATTGTAGTAGCTATTGTGTATATGGAGTTTAGAGAAACCTGGTTTTACAAACCTGCTTTTTGCAGTGGAATTTTACTCAGCCTGTTCCAGGCTCCAAGATAGTCATATGCAGAGATGTCAAAACTGATGCGAAAAACGCTCGAAGAACCTGGCACGGGTTAAATTTGATTAGTAAAATCCAACTAGTGGTCTATTATCAATGCTGCGTTCTGATTGGTTGAGCTTCTACTAGGCTATATGTTATAGCCCAATAGTAGCGGTACGCGCCGGCTTTTTGGCACCAAAAAAAGATTAAAGTCTAGCTTTAACTAGCTAAAGTTGTTTTGTCTCGATATTTTTGACCAACTAGTTGGATTTTACTAAAACAATGATTCCTCTCGCCCTCATGGCCTCTGAGTCAATAGCCCATTCAGGCGCAAAGAATAATTGTTAAATAGTTTTCATCAAGATCTGAGATGTTCTTCGAATAGCAATGAGTGTGCAGTCTTGGGAAAAAGTGTTACCTGAGTCAAAAGGAACATTTTTCTGTTTTTTTATCCCGATAGTTTTCACGATACTTTTAGAAACACCGATCCAAGCGCCTTGGAAAGCGAGGAACTCGCCTCAGATGGGATTATCATGGATTTGAGCTACAGTCTTGAAAGGTCAGTTGTGTTCTTTTGCTGAACCAAGGAAACTTTACAAGAAACGAGATCGGGTACAATAACGACCTTGGACTTTCTCACTGATTATGTCATTATGATTGTCGTTCGTTGTCATCGCAGACTTACCAATATAAGTAAAAGTAATAGCATGATTTGTAGTGATATTTGGCATAAATACCACGAGTGATATTTCGAAATTGTTACACGTAATTTCACGAGCCATTAGGCGAGTGAAATTTGAGACAGTTTTGAAATATCACGAGTGGTATTTATGCCAAATATCACATACAAATCATGCTATTATATGTTTATACTACTACCCACAAAAGGTTTGTAATTTTCACATGTAGGTATTTCAAATTAAGCTGAAATACCACTGCTCTAAGCCAATCAGATTGCAGAAATTTCTCATGTTGTAGTATGATAGCGATAATAGTGACGTGGAAAGTGCTGGATTCACTCGCCTTTGGCTTGTAAACTCGCTCTTACACTGAATCTCGTGCTCTTAGTTGACCTCAGCGATAAGATTTTTAGATGCCAAACTCTTGTTGGTTCCTAGTATCCCCGCTTATCGACCTATATTATCTTAATCCTTATTGGTTTATCACCCTGCAACACACATACAAACATACGTACGCTCAGACCACTAACATGTGAACGTTTTGAAACAACGTCTGTACTTCTCTTTTTTGCACAGAAATGAGTTTGCGTACGCTTCTTCAGACAAGCTGGTTTACATCAGACAGTTTTCAGAACGAGGCGCAGAAATGACCTTGTCAGCGGTTTTACAGGGCCACGAGGCCGAGGTGACGCAGGTGAGTCCTCTGCACTGAAGAAGTTTGCGGGGGAGGTATCGACCACCCTCAGACTTTACTCATTACTGGGAGACGGGCAATCTACCCTTCCTCTAACAAAACGTTAACACTTACTTCTTACTTATGACAAAATGATGGGTTAGGGGAGGGGTGGGTAGGCAGATTAGAAGATCCCTGAATTTTCGGTTGAGGGTCAAAGAGGTTTTTGAAGCCACTGCCCCGGGAGATCTTTGACCTGCCTCAAAGACTGAATCCATCCATCTTTTGATCAGCGTTGCATTGCTCATCCTTTTCTACGCCAAGATGCGACTCATTTTCGCTGTTGTTTGTCCAAGTTGTCCTTGCATGGTTTATTTTCCCAGTGGAAATAAAGTCTGCCTTACTGAGCACCAGGGGTCGAATATCAGAAACATTGACGACGGTGGAAGAGCAGAATCGCCATGAAAAAGGTGTATAGACTGACGTAGTGTATATATAATAGTTGTCCTCAGTAAGAACAGCCTCCTACTCTCGGCTAGATCATTCATTGGCACAGAAGCAAGGATGTTGGTATTTTAAGTGTGTCTTTTAAGCAGCTCGAAGTTCTGTTTCGGGTCGTTTTTAGGTGCGATGGAATGCGGTGCTGACCAAGTGGATCACGGGTTCAGAGGATGGTACTATTCGTATTTGGGTATGTGATGATTTTTACAGCAAGAAACCGATATCTCCCATTTAGTGAATCAATAAGCTGGCTATTTGCTGACATCTCATGACGTCATACAAAAGACTGAACAGACATAGCCTGCAAAACAGCCCCTATTTTTGCGTACGTGAAGAACGCCAACGCGATCAAGCTAAAGTCCTGTAGCGAAGATGAAGATGGAGAGTGAGATTAAGGAGAGAAACATCAAGCCTTGAAAAACCAATTTTAAGTTTGAGAAAGAAAACCGAATGTCTCTTCTTTCTTTCAGTTGAAGTCTAGAAAAGACACTAAAAAAAAAAAAAACGATACTCACCATCCAAGAACAAAAACTAACTGACGATGGTTTCTGCGACACCAAATTTCCCGGTGGCCGGCACCCGTTTTTACTACTAACTTGTTTCCAATCCACTCACGACAGAGAGCAGACGGAATGGCCTGCGATCTAGTTCTCAGTGCCCAAGGAGCAGTGTCGGCACTTTGCATCGACCAGGTGAACGGTTGCATTGTAGCAGGAGTGCAAGAAATTATTAGGTGAGAAGAGACGCCGTATTTACGAGGCGTATAACGTGTTCTCAGACCTCCGTGAGTCCAATGTGGTCACTCAAGACGTTTAACCAATCAGAATGCGATACCAGTGCGTGTAGCCACTGTTGATCACGGGAATAAGCTCGGGTTCAAGGAAGTCTCGATTGGTTTTGTGTTTTCTTCTGATTGATGGAGAAAGTGCCTTGAGATTATTTAGCTATCACAATGGCCCAAACTTTTTGCGTAGTTCCCACTTTTGTGTCTTTTACACACTTTTCATTTCCGCTCGAACTCAATTATCGCACAGGAAATAAGAATCTTTAAACAGTCTCTTGTTTCCCGACTGGTCATTGTGAGATTGTACGGAGACAACCTCGTTTCCACGGTTCTCTGTTACTCGTTCCTACAGGGAAGAGTAGAAGAAGAAGAACCCTGGGAACGATTATGAAATTGGGGCGATTTTGTTCCTAATTACACCATGGGCTTATCTGGTCGTGCAATCGCTTATTTGGTCAGTTACTACAAAGTTGAGCAGAACCTAGGTCCAAATCCGTCCCCTAAAAACCGTCCCATCGGGCAATTCGGCTCAACAACGACCCAGTCTCGCGTGCAACCTTTAAGTAGCCAATCATTTTTTACATTTTGGCGGAAATTAAGAGATAAGATGGCTGCTGACTTGTCACCAGTCGTCTTCGCGTGACGAGCACGACGAGGGCAGAGGGTGGTGGGAAGGGAGAAGATAAGTCTCTCTCGATCTCCCGCGCTTTCCTCCTTCCCATCACACCCCGCGCACCACTTGGGAGAGGCTGTAAGAGTCGACTGGAGACGAGTCAGAGATGGCTGGTGGTAAAATTAATTTTTTTTGTTTTATTTTGTGTTTCTTATTCCTTCCTTTTTGTCTGGATGTTTTGACTCTGTAGAGAGAAATGTCATTTACTGAATATTTTTTCGTTCCCTAGAGTATATGATCCAGAAAGCCGTAAAATCGTTCAGAAGAATCTTGGGCACAATGATTCCGTACGCTGCATTATTCACATTCCCGAGAGGAGTCAGGTATTACTATAAAATAATTCATTTGTTTGTTTATTTGTTTTTTTGTGTGTGTGCTTTGGTTTGCGAGGGAAAACTGAGCGAGTAAAAACATAAATACCAAGCAGAAGGAGTAAGAGTATCGGATAATGATTTCGATATCGTTAGCGGGTATTGAAAAAATCGGGAAAGGGTATCCTACGTTTAAACTATTCTTAGTGTTTGTTTTTAAGAGTATGAAAAATTGATCTATCCTGCGAGCAGAGTCTGCTTGCAGGGTAAAATTGATCTCAATTTTTTCGATATTTGGGTCGTTTATCGTAAAAAATATCATGAGAGAGTATTATCTCGTGTAAACAAGTTTTCTTTGTTTGTTTCTTTATTTGCCATAGTATGTTTCTGCTTCGTGGGATAAGACAGTTCGAATTTGGAACGCGTACAAGAAATGTAAGATAGTAGCTGTTAATTTTTGTGCTTTATTATGAATTATATTTTCTGAAAGTTAACTTACACGTGCACATTGTTCACAATTTCATTTTCTTCATTTTATTTTTAGCTCGCAAAAAACCTGCGAAAGAGACGACCGAATTTGCTGACTCCTGATGTGGATGGCTCAGTTATATAAGAATGGCTAGAAACATAATATTTACCTGCCTACAGTGGAGTTCTAAAATATCAGAAACCTATTTATATTATATTTCTTATACACAAAACTGTAAAACTGTAAAATATGTAAATATTAATTTCAATTCTATTTTATTTTAAATTCATTTTTGTATTATAATATACGGAAGAAAACAAAAAGCATGTAGTACTGTAATCCCGTTGAGTTACAGTTGGATAACATATTGTATCCGTTCAAAGGAGGCTACACGATGCGTTATTACTGGTTTGCAACCACGTGACAAGGCGGCCATGTCCGACATGGCCGCCTTGTCACGTGGTTGTACAATATAATTTTTTCTCGAAGAATTTGCATGAAAATAGAGTTTAGTTCCAGAGGAGCGAAATGCTTTTGTTCTTGACCACTAACATGGCCGCCGTGATGTCACGTAAACTAGCAATTCAGCCTTAAGGCTTCTCTTAAAGTTCAGTAAACGGTCAAGTAAGGATTTCAGTCAAAGAATTCAAAGTTACAACACCGTTTGATAGAACCTAAAGGCTAAATTATTATGAGCAGCACCACCGCAATGTAGTGCAAGCAGGTTACCTAAAATATTAACAACTGGCCTTAGCTGTTTGAAAGGCCGGTAAATAGTGTTATATACAGGGTTCTTTAGGATGATTTTTGGGTGGGGATGTGCCGCTGGGACCCTTGAACTCTTAGCCTATACCAGAGCTAGTTCAGCTTAATTTTGCTACCCTGCACTAGAAGTTACTTCCCAACCCCCCACCCCCATCCTAGAGTAGGTGTTTTCCAGAAACTGCTGAGAACACTAGCACAGTCCAGCCAAAACAAAGCCGATTTGATTTTTTTATTTTTTGAGTAGGCTCGATTATCAGCCGCTGTTCGGGAAAATGATCCAAGACCGGACCCGGGAGACGGCGGAAATCGAGCCTAATTTTTGAGTGGCAATTCCCTGTTTCCCTAGTCTAGACTAAAATCTTCAACCAATTGATCAGTTTCCGGGAAAATGATACCCTCTTCTAGACCCAAACTCTCTGATTTATATACCCTATCCTAGAGTAAACTGCTTGAAAACCATACCCTTTAGAGCGGCACATTCCTATATAACCCATATATGGCAGTACCCCCCCACCCACCCCAGTCCCACTGGATAGCGCAATTGGTTTCCGGAACAGTTATTCACTGGATAGTGCTTTTCTCCGGTAGATAACACTATCCAGCTTTTGAACAACCGAGGCCTGAAGAGTGAGATCAAGTTTTAGTTCTTCTGATGAATCAAAGGTACACCTTCCTCGTGTCTTGCTATCTTTAATCTGGTAGTGACCCAGTGAATCAGTTTTATTAAACCCATCATCAACCGAACGAACTGCGACATCAGTAACAAGGCAAGGAAAATGATAAGCGTTAATGGAATGACGCCCAGTAGAATCGCTTCGGCCCAAACACAGCGGTATACATGTTGTTTTTGAAGACCTTGATACTCAGTTCCTGCTGAGTAATACGATGCTACTCCGACATTTAATATTGCTATGACTACCAATGTTGCCAAGGAAACAGTCTCGGCTAGGTTGGCCAAGTACTTTGCAAAGGGCTTTGTGTGGAGGTGGTGTAAAAGGAAGATAAGGCACGTGATGGCCAGGCAGACGGACCGTAAGAAGGTTTGTGTCATGAACCAACCAATCAAGATTAAGATAAATCGCCTGCCAATCAGGATGCTTTCCCAGTAGATCTTGCCCGGTGTTTGGTCGTCTTGGTTTTGCTTGGAAAATGGTGCGCTTAGAACTTCAAGGATAGAGGCCTCTAAAGAACATTGGAGTGATGTTTCACGATCCTCTTTAAGATCAACAATAGACGACTTTGATTTCAGTTCTTGGGAGAAAAGCGGCCACTTTAACGCTTTCTTTAGGTATACAACACCGGCATAAAGCAGGTATGGAAGAGGAAAAACGCAAGCCAGTAGAAACTTCTTCGCTGAAATTTGTCGCCGATGTAGGCGCAAGGAGCCGTCATAAAGCATGAATATAAAGGGAAATAAAAACAGAATAATGACTGCTATAGTGCTATTTTGCCACCATTGCTAGCACGTGATTTCCGCGTTGTAGTACCATCGATGCACGTGCTGTATTTCTACACAGTACAGTAGCCTCATTGTGGTCCCTGTCACTGCTGAGTACCCTAGCAACACGCTCTCAAGGATCGCTCCCAGGTATGGACCTTTTAAGGGAAACACTGGAGTACGCTTGCGCAGTTTGTTAAGCCCGCTGTGCAGAAGGTAAATAAACAGTATTGCCAAGAAAATTGCCATGACGACAAACACTTGAGTCAGCGTTTTGGTCAGCGGCGTGAGACCTACAAAAGGGCAAATATTCCAGTCGCTATGAGGATATAGTTTAAAGTCGAAAATGCTTGTTATTGGAAATACAATCTTATCTGTTAATAATTCTCCTGCACCATATGATGGAACAGTCAACAGTCCTGCAACTTGATAAAAATAAAAGAGAATTTTCAGGTAACCGTGGGAAGAAAACGATGATGTAGCTATTGCTTTCTGTCCATTTTCCGATTTGTTGACGTCGTGGTAATCTTTTCGGCTGTTACTTGAGATGAACCATGTTAACATTTGCATTATCTTTTGAAAAACTGGAGGTTTACGGATAAGGTAAAACGCGAATAACATTGCGCAAATGAAAAATACGATCAGGTACCAGAGATGAGTGCATTCGTCGTCCCGAGCACAGTTAGTGTGGAATAACGCCTCGCTGAAATTCTCCTTACAACTGCCACAGAGAATCCCTGTCCGGTTACCTTGACAACCAGACTTCTGATAGCTTTCATTGTAGTAAGGGCAATTTTGATTGACAGCTGGGCAGCAGTACCCATGTGGGCACAACTGAAAATGTACCGTGTCACCCATGGGGTACCCCCAGAAATTTGGCCTTGCCGCCACTTCCTTGGTACAGTTGCCTCCATTGGGACATGGTAGGCACTTTACGTTGTGCCCCATTTTTAGACCTCTACTTGAGCCCCTTTTTATTCTGTACGTGCTTATAGAGCAGGGCTTAGTTAGAATAGAGAACCATGTTACCCACGTGGTCTTCTTGTTAATGGTTTCCCAATGTGGAAAGTTATGGAATATCAGCTTGCTTCCTACCGGGGATTTAATTTTCACGGAATGGTCGATAGAAACGTTGTTTGCACCCTCAACAAAGATTAGACCTTCTCCGTCATAGCTGAGGGGATCAGAAATAAACGAGCTCTCGGTAACACTTACGTTTCCAAAACTTGTTACCTTTAAGAAGCCATTATATGGCTGCTCTTCTGTTGTGTTAAAGATGTTAGACTTTTCCGACTGGTAAAACTTCGTTTTGAAAATAGTTAATCTGGTCGAACGTAGCTGAACTGACAAATGAGATCCATAGGCGCCTCCAAAGTTGTTTTTAAAAGAACAGCTTTCAATTCGGATCACATCAGCGTTATAATTATTGATAGCGCGCTTTTTGCGACACCAGAATTTCCACGAAACAGGGTGTTGTTCATGGCTACTATAGAGTACTAAAGTGTGACGTCATAAAAATGAAATTTCTGAAATTATGGGATTTGTCAGGATATTCTGAAAGAACAATGTCCAAGAGGCCTACTTGCCAAAAATGAGCATTTGGGGGTAAATTGTCTCTGAGATCGTAGCCCAGTTATGCTTACAAAACTCCATACAAACCCTTCTAAATTTTTTTTGGGTCGACCCAAGAAAAAATTAGAAGGGTTTGTATGGAGTTTTCTGAGTATAACTTGGCTACGATCTCAGAGAAAATTTGCTTCCAAATGCTCATTTTTGGCAAGTAGGCCTCTTGGACATTGTTCTTTCAGAATATCCTGACAAATCCCATAATTTCAGAAATTTCATTTTTATGACGTCATCACTTTAGTACTCTATTGCACCTAAACTGTTCACACTGGTTTCCAGGCAATGGTCAGACGTGCCAGAAATCTCTACCACCCCTGACTGGCAGAAATTGTCCTCGAAGGCACTCCCTTGAAAACGCAAGGAATATGGCGATTGATTCATAGACACGTGGAAAATATTACTTTTCCGTCTGCAGTTGTTTCTTAGGATCGAGACGTTGGTTAGCTTAAAACTTGCGTTCCTCTTAATTCCTGCTTTGAGACTTATCATAAAGTTGTCATTGTCGCTTATCAAAGTATTTTCCAAGGATACGTCACCCGCATGTTGAAAGAATAGGCCTCCCCCAAAGTTATGTTGAATGGTACAAGAATCGATCTTCAAGAACCCTCGGAACTGTACCAAAATGTCGTTTTGGGCGAGAAAACTGGCTTTGTTTTTAATAAACTTGGTGTTTTGTATTTTCACACGCGCTTGGGGTGACGTTAACAAAACTAAATGCAAGGTCCCTGTCTCTAGAGCGCCTGAATTCCTAATGAATTCACAGTTAAGGAATAAAATGTCTTGATAAAGTGTTCCCGACACCATAACGTATAAAGCTCCAGCAACTTTGTGTTCGGCAGCATTTTCGATGAATCTAGTGTTTATCAGTGTGAGATCTTTCATGTAATTCACATAAAGTGCCATGGCTCCACCCCCGCTAAGGCTAGGTGAGTGATCCACACTGTAAATTTTATTTCCAGTGAAATTTGAATCGTGAATATTGATAGTGGCATTGTTTAGATGGGAATCCATTGTTCCAACAGCCAACGCGCCGCCAGATGCAGCAGATGTACCAGAGCCTTCGTTTTGAATAAAATGACATCTTTTGATGTCCAGCTTTAGTAAAGTTAACTCAGTGAATGCGCATGCGCCACCGTTAATCCCAGCATTGGAGCGAAAAAGTGTCTTCGACATGAAAACGAGGGCTTCTCGTCTGAATCCTTTAACACTTAGGGCTCCTCCATCTCTACCCTCCATTGACTTTGCCATTTTATTTTCGAAAAACGTACTCCTAGTAATTTCAAGTTGAACCGAGTTTCCATCACGAATGTTGATAGCCCTGCCAATGTTTTGCCTGAAGTGAATCTTCGTTAAGTTTATGACAGAAGTGCCTCTGATGTCAATCACACTTTCTCTTGCACAGTTATTGTCAATACTCCCGAACTTCATCTGCATTGTTGTGATTCCATTTCTTCCCGATCGAATTTCCATACATGCTTTTCCAGAACAGTTGTTTCTTAAGACATTGATATTCTTTAAGTTAACTTGAATTTGAGCGGACAAGCTTTGCGGTGAAATACTCAGGAGCGCGCTCTCAAAGCTGTTCATACGGAGCTTATTTTCAGTGAAGAACGTATCTGTTATGCTCAAGTTCACCGAATCACCGCGAATCTTGATACCACTGCCACTGATGTTGTAGAACGTGCACCCAGAAATACTAATAGTTGCAGTGAAACCACGTGAAAAATTAAGAGAAAAAGCGTCATTAGAACTATTAACAAACATGACCCCTGACATCTTAAGAGAACAATCGACAAGATTCAGGGAGGTATTTACGAAAGTGATTCCCTCCAAAAAGATACTGCCAGAAGAGCTGTTTCTGAAATCGCAAGAAAGTTGCAAGCTTTTGTTTCTACAAGCAACAAAAGCTTGAGTTGTGTAGCTGGCAATGGAAATACCGGCTATGTACTGTATGTGCATTCTTGTGTCGACATCGCAGGGGTATGGATCACGTGACGTTCCCAACCCGTCGATGTTGATGACGTCACCTTCGTGCGCAAGCGTAGTTGCTTGGTAGATATGTTTACAAGGGCGAGACTTTACTAGGCCACAACCGTCTTCAATAGTTCCATTGAGTCTAGATACGTACCACTGACTCGCAGAGACACCTAGTATTGAACCAAAGAAAAACCCTGATAAAGGCATGTTTTTACCTTTTGTGTACCGGTATACTATATACCACAGTCCATCATCCCAGGGAGTCCATCTCTTATGCAAGGCCTGGGTAATAGCGTCGAAGACATTCAGATTACCGTTATAGTTTCATCTTAAGCCCCCCTCCCCCTGCCCTCTTTGCGATATTTTCATCTTGGCTTGCTGGACCCTGCGGTTGTTGGAATCTGAAGTTTATTCGGGCGTACTTTCTATTCAAGATAGTTTTTATTCCAATTTTTTTTACAGTCTTGTCTTTTGCCTGACCTCTTATATGAGTTTGTCACACCACGCTTAGATGTCTGTGGGGCGATTACAACTTCCTCTTTAAAGACTCGGAGTTTATTTGGGGAAGGCTTTTTTGCTTCCGATACAGCGTTTCCCACTCCTGGCCCAAACGTACTTTAAAAAAGAAAAAACAAAAGCAAAAAGAAATCTCTCAGTCTCCCCAGGCCCCTCTCCCCCACTCTAAAAAAACAAATAGCAAAAAAAAAACAAACAACAAACAAACAAAAGGAAAAATTGAAAAAAAAAATTGGGATTTCTGTTCTGGCGTAGCGTAACGGTGCTCTCCCGTTTTCTACGAGCCTGCAGGATGGTTCGTTTAAATATATATTTTCTGTTTTATTCTTTTGTTTACTTCTTCTCGCCTTGCAGTAAGGATCAGTTTGCCGATTTATGAATTTCACCTGCTGTGGTATTGCGGTCTTTGCAAATTAACGTCGCTTGGCCTCTTAAAGCATTTATCCCTTTTAAACGTGGCTTATCAAAATACATAGACATAAGTAATCAGTCTACAAATGAGATCTACCCACCAAAAAGCCAAATTGATAACCAAAAGAACAGCCGAACATCCATTAGTAACCGATCGAGTCAACGAAACTCCTTCCAAATAACATTGTCGATAATTGTTGTTTTTTATTTCTGGAACCGACCCACGCCGGAACAAGCCAGTTTAACTTGAATGTTTCCCGATATAACAGGTAACTGCTGCCCGTTTTCCGGGGAAAACCCCGTCACGAGGACGGACCGAGGTGGATCACAAGACCGTAGATTCGGACCTCGCCCGGAAATTCTTCAACCGTAAAATCATGCGCGAAATGATAAAAATATAAACCATATACTAATACTATTTTTATGGCACTTAAGTGTTATATCACTTACCAAGTTTAATACTAAATGGAGTTCTAAAAGAAAGTTAGAAAATCCGGTTAGTGCAAACCGGAAAAGGGACTGGAAGCCGGGTTCAAATGATGTGGGTCATTTTTCGTAGTAGCTTATATACAGTAAAAAACAAAGGATACTCAGAAGGCGTGGTTGCTAAACGTTCTGTTCAGAGTTGTAACTTGCAAAGAAGCACAATTTAGCTGTTTATAGGCTATGTGACGAGAAAATTTAAATGTTAAAGGGTAATTCTTGCAAGCTATGCATCCCTCTTTGGCGCCTCATCTTCATGGCGACTGCCTAGAAATTATAGAGCAACTGCATCGCTGTCACGAACAGGTTAGTAGTTAAACGTGTTGTGCTGTAAACACGTGCCTGCTTGGCCATGTTCTTGTGCTGTATACAAATTTTTTTTCGCCTTTCTTTACAGCATCCTGTTGGGAAATTCCTAGGCGAGTGCAATGATATCAAAAGAGCATTGAATAGGTGTTTAAAAGAGGAGGTATTTATTAAAGTCTTTTTATCTGATATCCATTTCGCTTCATTAGTTGAGGGTAGACGTGTTATGTAATTCTAACTTTGAGGGATGAGGACGAAATTCTCTGGTTTTGCCATATGGTAATATTTGTAGTAGAATGTTTATAAAAAGAGGTTTTAAAATTTTGATTTTGAACATTATCAGGGGTGTGAATGATAAATCAGTCAATAAATTATGTTTATAAAAATTAACAATGATGAATAAATTGAGTGGTTGTTCATCCAGCTCAGCCCTGACTGAAATTATTGAGTAACAAAGTGTGACGTAACAGAAATGAGAATTTGTGAAATTATGGGATTTGTTGTCATCCTCTATGAGACTAAGATGAAAAATGCTTCTGTACCAAAAATCAGTGAGTTTGCACCAATTGATGGTGAGATATTAGCATCCTTATGTTTTGACAACTGCATGCAAATCCTTCAAAAGCCAATTTTAGAGGATTGGTATGGAGTCTTAAGTAACTATCTCTGTGCACATATTAGGTATAAGCAACAGGTCTGAGAGTAAAACCTCACCAAATTCATACATGTAAAAGTAAAGGGAGAGTGTCAGTATACTGGCCCAACTACCAATCACATGTACCATCTCTGATCACAATAATTGTTGACTCTTTAATAATTATTAGCCCAAGTGGTAAGCATTTCCACGCAAGTTATTGCACATCTGCAAGAGTTTTCACAATAACTCAAGTGGATGAGTAATAACTACAGCCAAATGGTTGCTACACAGGCTTCTTGCCAATTCTGATCCACACTTTATTGCAATAAAATATAATAATTTAATATTGTTAGTTTTATACCTGACTATGTCCCCTGGGGTGACAGGCAGGGCTACATGTAATAATCATGATGGTAAGAACATGAGGTCTCCAAAGGAGACAAGGTCTTACTCGTGCAACATTTATGGATCGTTAAACATTGTTCTATTTTTTATGACAGGATTTAAGAAAAAGAAGAAGAAACCAAGAAGACGCAAAAAGAAAAAGAAAGACACTAAAAGATTTGTGTTCAGCAAAACAGGAATAAACACTAGGATTTGTCAACGGAGTTAAACATCAGAGATGCCTCATACATTTACAATTCAAGTAAGATAAGAGATGTTGGCATTCAGATGATAACCTATTTACAAATTACCTTCTGAAGCATTGCTCTTTCTAGATGGCATGTTTGATTGTCAAAGTACTCTCTTTGACATTTTTATGACAATTTTTGTCAACGGTACAAATAATGGCAGAACATTCTAAGTAACTTTAAAGTCATGCCAAAGGGATTACTATCAGACTGCTGGAATCTTAGCATGTTTTGCACTACTAAAATGGGTAAATTGTGAGGAACATTGTCATGAATCATACTTGCCGGTAACTAGTATGAGTTATAATTAAAAATGAACAATTTTTGTTACTAGAAATTGGATTTCTTTTTGTGATTACTTGTATGAAAATGGTAACTAGTATCAAAGTCTGAAATGTTACATTTACAGTATTACCATTGTTAATACTGTCCTTAAATTTGAAGCATGTCATCTTTATAGTCTGTTAATTTCAGCGGATCTACTTATACAGATACATGCTCAGAAGAAAACCCATTCCAACAATTTTGGGTAACAATAATATTATTGTTGGTCAGCAACAAATACCAAAAATATTTGGTAAAAAACTAGTTTTGTTGGACCCTAGTAATGCTAGTTGTTGGATGTTCAGCAATGTTCTTTCACTGTTGAGGCAATTCCTGGGGTAGCAGTATTGAACCTGCCACTTAAATAAGATCACAACATTATTGTTGCCTGATATTTCTTGCAAATGACAGCAACTGAAATCTTCTATCATAGGTATCCCTAAAGCTCTGAAACTATTAAATCCAGGTAGCATAGCACGTTTCTTTCCTGAATAGCTTACGTCACCAGCAGGGGTCATCTAGCACTGCTGGAACACAGCCCTGTTGTTGTGTGAAGGACTCGGCTTAATATGATTGACAGTTATCTTGCAGTCCAGTGATCCCCACCGCATTGATCCTTAATTCTTAATAATGTGGCAGTCCATTGATGCAAAATTGATTTTGACAAAGAAAAAGAATAACTTGGAATACACTTCAATATCTTGATATACTGGGTACCTTCTTTGAGGTTTAATCTACTGAAAATGTTATTGTAGTCTCTACGATAACTGAGGAGCCAAAGAGAGGCAATCAGTTTACTGCAACAAGCGGAAATTTTAAACTGAATTCACTTTGCAAGCTTATACCCAGAGTTCTTTTAATTTGTTAACATGTTCCTAGCATCCATTTCAACATGTTAACTCGAACCAAGTAAAAATTCTTCCACAATGAAGGACTGGCAAAACATTAGTTGGGCTTTTGTGTTGTTTTCTTTATAAGTAGCCCAATGGTAAAGCAAAGTTTTATGGCTTGTTAAGAAAAGTAACTGACTGAATGCAGGTTGGGCTGGCTTCATGGAGCCCCACCAGAGGCTAGTAAACTGAGTTAACGTCTTGCTCTTTGAGCAAGCTTATTTGATTTTCTTTTGTGTGTCTCACCTTGTGCAAACAGTACAGCAATGGGGAGACATGTGAACTCTGTCAGTCTGAATTGTAGTATTGAGGCAGCCTATAAACTCAGCATGTATACTCTGGGTTCTTGCATCCTGCCTTGTTGTGTCTCTTTCAAACGTTTTTCTTATTGCTTTTTGTCCATTATTTTTGCAATGCTATTTACATTTTCCTTTTTTAATGCTTATGAATAGAACATGAAGATACTTCTGGGTTTCAAAATGGAGAAAACCCGGGAAAACCTGGAATACTGAGCAAAATACTTCACCCAAATACTGGGTCACATCTTAATAAGGGATACTGAAAATGAGATCTATTGGGCGTCCCCACCTCTGCGCTTGATGGTGTTGTTCGGACAATTGCATCATGGCCAAACCGCCAGGTCCCTTCCCTTGTACCCGGATCAAAGAACACCAGTCCCCTGATATTCTGCCATTTTCGCATTTTCGAGCATTGCCAGGCCACAGGCCACAACATCAACCCAACCAATGTAAAAGTTCTATTTGACAAAAACAACACCATCAAGCGCAGAGTGAAGGAGGCCATTGCTATTAAACAAAGGAAACCCCCCTGAATATGGATGAGGGACTGGACCTACCAGCAATTTACAGTCCTCTCAACGCTGATGAAGTCTGAGTGATTCGGATGAAATATTCGTTTCGTATCTTATTTTTTCGCTCTGACTTTTGGAATTTTCTGCACTAATTAATAATAATAATAATAATAATTATAACAAAAATAATAAAACAAGAAGAAGAAAAGGGCAGTTTAAGTACCCACTAGTTTTCACTGAAATACCTAAAAATGATGGTACTTACATACATACAATACAATACTTGAATTTGGATCTCTCGTAAAGCAAAAGTACTTGCCTAAACTAACTGTTGGAAAATTTCGCGTCATTTTGCAAAAATACAATGTTCTGCAAGCGTCCCGGTGCTCGTACACATCGGCCATTCTCGTCACTAGAGCCACCCCCTCGGTTGGCTTACGTACGAAGTCCACTTAAAAAACCGACGGGCCCTGAGGACGAGAATGTACATGGCTGCGCGCGCGCAGTGAACTCGCTAGAACCCATTTCGCTCATGTCTTTCACAGGCGCAACCAAGGCGGTACCCATCGCCCCACCCACCAACACACCGCAAATTCTCCAAACCACAGACGAAAATGATGATTTTGTGGATGAAGAAGCGCGTTGAGTGGGAGACTGGTGTAGAAGGAAAGGAGTACTACTTTTGGAGGTTTTTACTATTACAAAGCTTGAAAAACTATTTCAGTAATTTCAGGGAACGCTCGAAGTACTCCAAACAATACATTTTCTTAGCACTTCGCAGAGAACATTCCGCATAAGACGATTAGAGTGACAAATCAAAATTTTACGAGGAATTTTGACTTGAAAGCCGCTTAACCTTTTTGATACCATCCCTCTCAGGAAATTTTGTGACAAGGTCCGGAAACAGGGTAACAATACCAGACGTTTTCAAATACAAATCGCACGGCAGAACTACAGTTTTTCTCAATCGAAAACTTTTAATAAATACTATATATAATAATACATACACAAGAAATCCACAACTGAGAAAAAACGAGAATTTACACATATTTTACTTTTGCTGGAATTTGTGTACACTGTAGTATTCTTGCTTATGAAACTTCCGTTAGATTCATCCAAACGAATGTGTTATGTTCGCTGCCAAATTGTACTCAAGAATTACAGATTTTTCGGCAAAAAGTGTTAAAAACATATTTAAAAGATAACTGCAGCACAAATTAAGCTTAAAATGGAAAAGTTATACAATTTTACACCATAAGAAATTAATTCCGCTTATTGGCTGAGCCAAGTACCAGATTCAGTCGAAGGATTTCGTTCGTGTTGAACTTCTGGACTTCCTCTCTGCATACCAGACGGAGAAAGAAATCCGGGGATTACTGGCGGGTCTATGACTGAAGACATTGGACCACTAAGATGCGGATCACCTGGACTTGCACTTTGCGGTTGCGGTGCCAGCAGCGGGGCTCTCATGCGGTTTCCATACGGGTAGGAATATCCAGGGATTCCACTAAGATGCAGATCACCTGGACTTGCACTTTGCGGTTGCGGTGCCAGCAACGGGGCTCTCATGTGGTTTCCATACGGGTAGGAATATCCGGAGATTACTTGCGGGTGCGTGACTGAAGGTGTAACAGGACCACTAACATGCAGATCACCTGAACTTGCACTTTGCGGTTGCGGTGCCAGCAGCGGGGCTCTCATGCGGTTTCCGTAGGGGTAGGAAGAATATGCGGGGATTACTGGCGGATGTATGACGGAAGACATTGGACCACTATGATGCGGATCACCTGGACTTGCACTTTGCGGTAGCGGTACCTGCAGTGGGGCTCTCATGTGGTTTCCGTACGGGTAAGAATATCCGGCGGGGATTACTGCCGGGTGCGTGACTGAAGACGTAACAGGACCACTAAGATGCAGATCACCTGAACTTGCACTTAGCGGTTGCGGTGCTTGCAGCGGGGCTCTCGTGCGGTTTCCGGGGATTACTGGCGTGTGTGTCACTGCAGACGTAACAGGGTCACTAAATTGAAGATGCGGATAACTTGGACTTGCACTTTGCGGATGAAATCCATACTGCGGGGATCTCAGCGTTTCACGAGGGAGGAGACTTTCCAAATTAACTGTCGAGTGAGTATAGGCTGATTCGCCAGGACCAATGAGATATGGATTATCTGACATCGTACTTTGTGGTTGCAATCCATGAGGACGCGCTCCTTGTATTCCATGTGGGGAAAGAAATCCCGGGATTTCTTGCGGGTAGGTGACTGTGGAACCTTCGAGATTCAGATCATCCGGCATTGTATTTTGGCGCTGAACTCTCTGTTGTGACGGATCCTGTATTCCACGCAGGGGAAGATATCCAGAGTGAACTGGAGGGAGAAAAATTCTAGAAATGTTAGAACTGCGGGGATACGGGTACCCTGGAATATTACTTCGCGGTTGCCATGCCTGCAGTGGTGATTCCAGGACTCTGTTACGGAGGGGATGTTCACTGAAGGGTGCCAGGCTGAGGCTGGAGAAATGCGACGTCGAAATGGGAGCTCCTAAAGAAAAAAAATTAAAATTAAGATCCCATGAGTTAACATGAAGGTACAGTGTAAACGACTGGTTTCACGGCACTCGTGGTCTTTAAGTAGATTTCTCCTTTTCTAGCATTATACGCCTTCTTGGGTTATTGTACAATATTAGAAATTAAAGCAACGCCTACTTGAGTGAATACAAGAAAATGTCCAGTTTGGAGATTTTAGAAGACAGACTGTAGACCAAAAGTGCCTTCAGCCCCAGAAGTTCAAAAGGTAAATAGTGCTATTTACTGGGTATCTCACTATCTAATGCATAAAGGTATCGGGTTCTTAAATACTCATCATCTTGTTGGTCATTTTCCTGGTGGATAGCGCTATCCAACTATTCAAAACACCCGGGCCTGTATCTGTGTATTGTAGTAAGGACGACAGGACCGTTTAATACTAGTTGCAGCACTACGTTAAGTCCTGTACATTGTCTTATTGGTACTCAAGTCAGTCATGGCGTTACTAGTGTAGTAGATTGCAGAATTTTGTTTTCCTTGTAACACGGATGGAAACCTTACCAGCAGAATGAAGAGGTACCGGAACTGGTCCTGCGGTTCCAGGATCGTGTGACGGCACGTCCTGAGTACAGAGGCGAGTGTTCCTCTGAAAACGAGACCAAAGGCAGAATAATCAATATCGGTATGGAACCAAAGTAAACGTGTGATCTCCTGCTAACAATCATTTGACAGTTTTAAGATCACTCAGCTAAACGTATGATCTGGGAAATAACCAGCAGACCCTTTCTGTCTCAAGTTGGCTCACCAAAATGGATACCAACTCCAATTGTCCGTCTCAGAGTGGTGTCCGCGTCTTACTAGTATATAGAGTTTAGTTGCAGTAGATGATTGGAAAACTCGGCAGAGAAGAGACCAGCACCCGGTGTCCGTCTTACCGGCAGAGTTTATAGCCTAACAGCCGCGCGAGGTCAGTTACAGGGTTGTACGTAAGGTTCTAACACGTTTATAGCCCAACGAATTTCAATAACTATTAACACGTTAGTTACTAAGAAGGCGCCTGATCCATGAAATCTCTCTCGGCAAAAATAAATCCTAGCCAATGTTTAATAACAATTTCGTTAATACAACCTCATTACCTCATTAACAGACAAACAACGTACCTCGGGCTCGACCTGCGTGACTGTAGACAGGCCAGAACCTCTGAAAAGGTACGAATCGATACCCAAGGATCCTCCAGGTGTAGAGCTGGTGGACGGGGCACTGTGGTCATAGGTGTAGATATCAGGGGAGGAGTAATTCTGTGGATACTGAACGTTATGAAGGGGATTAACACTGAAGGGTGCAGCAGGTGTCAGACCGTGATTGGATCCATGCGCTGTAGGAATGGACAGCTCTGCTAACAATGGATCAACTAAAGGAAGAAATAAGGATCCCACGTGATATGATGGTATAAAGGAAACCATTGATTTCAGACTGATATTTAGACTTCTAGAACATTTATCCTTTCTTAATGTTATGCCCCCTCGTTTTACTACGTAAGTTTAAATAATTAGTGCAAACATCGCTCACTTTAGGTAACACCAGAAAATATCTACATCGGAACAGGAGGAGGTGGCGTCTTTACACAGGCCACGACTTCCTAAAAATAAAGTCACAGACTTCCATTCAATCAGAGGTTAATTTGTGATGCAGGTACACTTAATTGGCCGCTCTCCGGACTTTCAACAAACGGTTTTCGACTGGCAAGGCACAAAATTATAGAAACGTCTGTTACAAACCATAACACACAGGTTTTCACTCATTCGGAAGTTGATAAAAAGGTTCTGCATCTACGCCTGCTGTCCAATCTCACAGGATTTTAAACGAACGGACCTTCGAGTTTCACGGAACAAAGAAATTCGCATTCTGTTATGATGTATGGACTTAAATGAAACGTTGTATCACATTATGTTGTAGAGAAGTGGCCGTTGGTGGCCGTTGTGGAGAGGTGGTCGTTAGTGGAGGTTCGATTGTATTCCGAAATAGTAGCGAGTGTTTAATCCAAATTAATAGAACACTACATAATTTAAACCTCACATCAACAAATAGGGAAAAACCAAATGAGTTTTCGTCTTTGCAGTCAAAGGGTGGCACAACAAAATGGACTTTAAAGGACTAAATAAGGTCTCTCCTTTCTGTTATCAACAACAGTCCAATCTCCACTAACGGCTACCTCTCTACAACGGCAATTTTTGTTTCGGCAAATAGTCCATACGTTCACTCTTGTTTCAGCCTCTCTACAACGGCTAACTCTCTACAGTGGCCATTTTTTTCTGTTCCCAAGGTGGCCATTGTAGAGAGGTTTAACTGTATAATATGGATTTAAATGACCTTTAGTATACCTTCAGTTATCATCTCCTGCACTTTCCGCTTTTTTCCTGCTTTCTGTTTCAGTCTTCCAGGGGATTCTTCTGTAAGCATAAAATCAATTTTGCATGACTCAATTTCTAAGAATTCTTCGAGAAACAGACATACAGTGAAGCCCTGTTAATACGGACACCAAAGCTACAAGGCAAAATGTCCGTATTGTGCGCGGAATAAAAAAAAAATATCGGTTGCAATGTAAGATAGTGTATAAATTTATGTAAATTTACGGGTTTTTTTTCTTAATTATTGTTTACAACCAACCTTGTAAGGCAACTTGTTCATCGTAGGCTTTGGAAGATGAGCTGGGGAGATTCAACTCCTGCAATCGAGTAAATAGTGCCATGTAGTTCGAGTGGATTATATATGCAAGCTTTTGAGGACTGACCAATCGACTGATTGAAGCGTCACTAAATTATACGACTTAAAGTAGTCGTTTAATTATAGATCCAAAGTTAAATTAAAATGAAATGTTAATGACAACTAATAGCCCGAAATTTTCTTTCTACAATGCCCTTACGCAACGTTTTCAGAATTCGTGAGAGTCGTTAAAACTTTTAGACTTTTAGACCAAAAGTAGCTCAAGTATGCCCCAGAAACAAATTCGTCGACGCTCTCTTGAAGGTAACGTATACATCCACTAACGACACGTGACTGGTCTAATAAAACAACGGACAGACAACCTGGAAAACCTTCCGGTGTTAGTTCACTCGGCACCGGAAGAATTTTCATCCGGTTAAAAATCCGTGCGTTTAGGTATTGCATTCACGCAGAACCACAAAAATCAGACGCTCAGCCGTTCAACTTTCCGTGTGAACAGAGTGAAAATATTGAACGGTTCCGTGTCAACGAAGTGTCCAGTCAAAAATTTCAACCGGTCGAAAACCTTCGTTCATGATTAGAATAAACACTGAACAAAGTCCTCCGACCACGAAAGTAAAGGTACGACCTTGAGCTCTGACACTCTTGGGGTTAGCAATGCTCAATAACATTCCTATCAACAACTTTGTTATTGAGTAAATGACTGATCCATAAAGTCGTTCTCAATAATCCTTATCACTGTTTCAAACTAATAAACAAGTACGGCAATGTGAATTCGGCCCATCGCTCTTGTTTGGCCTCATTACCTCATCAACGGGTTCGTCCTGTGTGACTGTAGAAGGGCCAAGTCGTTCTCAATAACCCTTAACACTGTTTCAAACTAATAAACAAGAACAGCAATGTGAATTTGGTCCATCGCTTTTGTCCGGCCTCATTACCTTATCAATGGGCTCTTCCTGTGTGACTGTAGAAGGGCCAGGACCACTGATGAGATGCGGATCGGAAGACAAGGATCCTCCAGGTGTAAAGATGGTGGATGGGGCACTGTGATGATGGGTGTGGATATCTGGTGAGGAAAAATGCTCTGAATACTGAACTTGAGGTACCAGACCGTGGCTGGATCCATGCGCTGTAGGAATAGATGCCTCTGTTAACATCGGTTCAACTGTTAAGGGAAAAGAAGGTAGAAATTAGCATCCCACGAGTAGGAATGGACGGCCCTGCTAACATTGGATCAGCTAAAGGAAGAAATAAGGATCCCACGTCACATGATGGTCATATAGGAAACCACCGTTTTCAGAATGATGGACTTCTAGAACATTCATCCTTTCTTAATGTTATGCCCCCTTGTTTTCCTACGAAGTTTAAATAATTAGTGAAAGCAACGCTCACTTTAGGTAACACCGGAAAATGTCTACATCGAAACAGGAGAAAGAGGATCTTTTCCTTTTAAACTTCCTCAGTGACTGTTCTAACTATTAACACACTTTTCGTTTCTGTATGTGGCAGCAAGGCCTGGTCCGTTAAATATTCATGCCCGGTAGTACTGCGTAGAATACCTTTTTGGTCTATAAACAGACTAATGAATAAACTTAATCGTATAAGTCCGATTTCTTTCACCTAAATTACCACCGGGATGTGAAAACAGCAACTTGTTGCAAGGCTACACAGCAGTTATTAAAAAGAAAGCAATCTCACAAACCAAAACTGACTTTTGAGCGCAACGAACGTATGTACAACTTCTTATTAGTGCTCAGGGCGTTAATCGCCGATAAGTTTTGTTACATCTGTGATTGGGAAGGCAGGTAACGGGGGGGCGGGGGGGGGGGGAAGGGGGCTGGGAGACAAGAAACCTTACCGGTAGGATCAGGAGACGCTGAAAATGTTCTTCCCACGGTGTCTTGATCGTCAGCGGGGAATGGTGAGTCGTGAATACTGAGGGGAGTCTCTGCAGGAATCTGTGCGAGTGGTAAAAGAAAACAAGAGTTGATCAGAGCCTGTTCCAGGCTTTCAGATAGTGGAGAGTGGCACTTTCCACTTTCTGAACGCCTCAAACAGGATAAGAGTTGATGAGCCAATAAGATGATTGAAAAAGAAAACAAGAGTTGATGAGCCTGATAGTGGAGAGTGGCACTTTCAGCTATCTGAACGCCCCAAACAGGCTATGAGTTGATGAGCCAATAAGATGGTTGAGCAAAAAGAAGCTCTTCTGTTAGAAATGAAAACAAGACTATACAAACACAGAACCTCAGTCTACTGTTGACTGGTTTGATCCAAGCTTCGAGCTCCATGTTTTCTTAGAATGCGTAAAACTGCTCTACTACAGCGATAAGGGTAGGCTCGATTACCAGCCGCTGTTCGGGAAAATGAGCCCACACTCATCCCCCTCTCTTCGGGGAGGATCAAAGACCGAACCCGGGAGACGGTGGAAATCGAGCCTACGATAAGGGTGAAATTTGCAAGTCAATAAACATGTCAAAGATGCACATTTTCTCCCGGCTTGTATTAACTTCACGTACGAAAATCAGCAAGTTTTTTTCAAAGTGCACGATTAAATCGACTTCCCGAACGGTAACAAAACGTATGAAGGAAACTTCAGGTCGCTTCCAAAACCAGAGGTATTTCCGAAACGGATTTCAGTCCGTTACAATATTGTTCGGACAGTAACTTCCACAACTAAAAGCCATCGTTGTAAGAGAACCGTCGGTTTCGGTATGACTTAGCTCACTTCTTAAATGAAGTGAGCTAAGAGCCCAAGACCACAGAAATAACTTGTTACTGTTAGTAAGACTTATATTCAACTGCACCGTTTTGATTTGACTCAGTTTTTATGAAATCGCGACTAGAAAAAAGAAAAAAAAAACAGCCTGAAACTACTATGATATAAAACACATTTCCTGTTCCGTCAGTTTCAGTTTATAAGTGAACTCCTAAAAAGCTGAAGAAAAACCATACATTTTTAAACGGAATGTTTTTTTTCAGTTTTTTTTTCCAAGAAATAACGGAACTCAAGAAATATTATACTCGATTTTCTTTTGCCAAAGTTGATGACAAACCTGTTGCCTTTGCCGGTGTAATTCATTTGATGAGTGAGAAAAGAGACTGGGGTACCGCCTTTTCCAATCTTCTTCTGATGGCCATTCATGTTCAGGCTTAGGGTTGCCGGTTTCCTCAAAAACCTACAACAAATCACAAAATAACACAAACACAATTCAACTTTTAAAGCAACGTTTAAAAGATCGAAATTGTAGTCTAAAAGCTTTCTTTAAGTGATAAGCAATTAAAGGGTAAAAATAACATCAGGGGTTAACTACTATGAGAGGGGGACGCGAATGCTCATCTGACAACTAGAATTTTACCATTAAACCATTAAGCCCCAATATCCAAATACAAATTCTCCACACTAGTGTCCATACATTGCCTTATAGAATTAGTTGAGAGAACCTGAAAAAAGATCAAAGTACTTTTCCTTTGTTCATCAGTTTATTACTTCTCTTAACCTTTTCTTTTGATAATGTTTTGATATTGTTAAGAGAAAATTCATGTTGATCACTCTTGGGACTTAAAGACCAATCTGCAACTGATCTGAGTAAAGCTCAAGCTGATTCCACCCCGAAAAGAGGTCATTTCTACAACACATAGTCATAGTAGTACTATATACATTTCTGCTTGCGACAAAGACGTTTTTCGCCTTTAATTTAGTTATATTTAGGACTAACCAAGAGATTTTGCTCATTTTGCAATCCGTTCCGAGGCCTTATTTAGTTCAAAGTCGTAAAATCCGCATGTCCTAAACAGTACTTTCGTCCTAAATGGTCTTGCGAGTACTGGTGTGTTAAAAACTTTCTAGTGAGTGTCTCAAAATTAAGGCTGCTTTTCACTAGCGACAGAGTCGGAGTCGAAGTCGTAATCAAAAGCGTAGAGCTTATGATCCAGTGAAAGCAGCGTTCAGATTCCGCTTACGTTCCGCTTATGATCTAGTGAAAACCAGATTGTCAGAGTCGGAAGCAGAAGCGGAAGAACCAAACGTGCATCGGGATTGGTTTATCCTTCTGCTTCTGCTTTACTGGATCATTGTAAGCGGAATCGGAAGAAATGGAAACGTTCTAGAAGTAATTTTTCTGACTCCGCTTCCGGCGCGCTTATGACTCCGCTTACGACTCCGATTTTTGATTTTCACTAGGTCATAAGCGATCTTACGACTCCAATTCCGACCCCGTCGCTTGTGTAAACCAGCCTTTAGGTTGCTGCGCGAGAAGTTCCTGATTTTTCCTTGTCAACCCCAAATTTCCGAATTTTTGTGCCGTTTAATAGTGATTAGAAATTACAGGGGCGGATCTAGGGGGAGGGTGCAGGGGGTGCGCACCCCCCCCCCCACCCCCTGAGATGACCTGCGGTTTTCTAATACAACTGGTATTCTGCAAAAAAAAGAACAACTATGTGGTTTATTGGTGTTGAAGTAGAGCAAGAGACGAGTGCACCCCTCCTAAAAAAAATCCTGGATCCGCCCCTGAATTACCTACATACAGAAAAAGCAAGGGCCTCACGAACTAAAGTTCTGTTGAAAAAAGGAGTTAAAAATACGAAAAAGAGGGAAAAACGACAAAACCAACAAAAAATACATCTGACTTCTTGGACACACCTCTAAAGGTGCTCGTAGCTTAAAGACCACATTCTACTTTTCAACCCCTAAAATTAGTATGCAAGACTTTCAAAACAGCAAAATCTAATAATATACTCTTAAAATGTGAAAATTATTGAAACCTTGGAGCCCTTTCTTCTATTAACTCTTGGTCTGATAAAATTCTCACAGATCAGTTTTTCCTTAGTGGGGGTTGGGAGGGGAGGCGCAAAAAAACCTGCGTCTCGTCTGAAGAAACGCTTGCTGCGCTGCCAAACGAAAGGCGGGAAAATTCTACCACGGGTAGTTATATAACCAATCAGCTGTCGCCACGTCACAAGCCTTCTCTCACGCCACTTTGAATGACAGTTTGTTGATTTTGTAGTTTGTTGTTTACTTCACTTGAGTTTGCTCATCAAAGAAAACTTTCAACGCAAAAATACTCAAGATGGACACAAAAAGAATGAGAAAACACCGTAAAATGTCAGTTAAGAGAAAAATTCGTCTTGTGTACTCAAGAATTTGTCAAAGGATTTGTGCAAGCTAAAGGAAACTACATTTATGAACTTCAACTCATTCATACAAGACGCGAAGTGACGCAGGATTTGTTGTGTTCGTCGTAAAACTGGAAAACAAGTAACCGACAAAAATAGACAGCTAGTACCATAGAGGAGTGCTTTTACCTATGTATGGTTAAATGTATGGTGTTAAATTTCACCAAAGTGTCCAGAGGAATTATATTTTTTGTGGAACGCTATCTCAAAAACCTACGCTACAGTGAGGTTATTTACGGGAGGACAAACATTTACCGAAACGCAAGGGACATTCAAACAAAAGGACAGCTCTAAAAAGACTTCTTCGTTTGCTGGACTCTCAAAGAAACTTTACTTGAGTTTTGCTGATTTTACGAAAACCTTAGCGATAAAAGTGAAACTGTAAGTGGTTAACTTTTTTTCTCTTGATTTTTGTTGATTTTTGCAAATTTTGTTTGTTTGAATTGTCGAACATGAACAGAACATTTTTTGATTTTATGCTTGTTATTCATCATTTTATGAAAAGTAATGAATTAAAATTGATTGAGAAATTAATACTATGGAATTTTTGTGTTAATACATAAATCACAAGTTTGTTAAGTGAGCTCATATCGAGTTGAACCAGACTCGAATTTCATATCTGCTCGCTGATCCATTATTTCGCACAGTGAAAACACCTTCAGATTGATTTACTTGTTCTCGGTTAAAACATTTTTTTGGATTTAGTTTAATCAATTGAAAGGAATGAATTTGAAATGATACTTTGAATCTGCTAAAGTTTGTGATTTGTTTTCAAAAGTAAATCTCGTGTTTTGTCGAGTATAAAAATGACAAAGAAAGGAAAATGGCGAAAGGCAAGAGCTGAGTAGAAATAAACTGTAAACAAAGAATAAAGAAACAAATTGCGATAAAATTAGAAAACTTACGTGGTATTCTGACTCCAGATCAGTGTTGTTGCCGTGCTGCTTGATGGCTGATGACAGATCCATCACCTGCTGTGGAGTCATCTTCACATCTGTAAGGTACAGTTCCTCCAGGTGAGGAGCGCAGCTGAGATGTTTAATCAAGCTGTCTACTCCTGCACCCAGAAGAGGATTGTGTGACATGTCGAGCGACTCCAAGTTTGGTGCTTTTTTAAATAAATTGTTGATAAACTCCACAGCAGGTGATGATGTTACATTGATGCGATGGAGTGTTAATGTCTTCAGTTTGTGTGTTACTTGGATGCTCCTCAGCAGAGACTCTGTTACCTCAGCATCGTACACTTCACCGTCTTCACCCATAACATGTATCTCGTGTGGAGCGGTGATAAACGGCCTCATCTCACTCATCAGTTCCACTTCTGACCTGTTCACATCATTAGCTACAATCCTCCGAACCCTGGAGAGACCATGACGCTTTGAACAACAGCTGCTGCTGCTCTCTTCACTTGACTCATCACCATTCATGTTTGTCTTCTTTGTTGTCTCTTGTTTACTTATTAGCGCCTTGATTATATCACAAGGAAAAGGAATGTCGAACACTTTATCTTTAACAATTTTAGCTAAATAAAGGTGAGTGTTGTTTTCTTCTTTCTTTAAAAAAAATTCACTAATGTGACGCCATGTTGAGTTGCTTAAAAATTCTGATGCTTTCTTTTCTCCTACAGAGCTAACAATAACTGCGTTTAATTGGTGTAATAAAATTATAAAATTACTATAGTCCTGCTCTGTATAATCTTCCTCACTGTTTTCAGTAAAAAAAACGTAGTTGGGTGTTTTTTCGGTAGTTTGAACTAATTTTTCTTGTACGATAACATTTAGCTGCTCTTCATTAATTACAAGAACTCCTCCTAAAGAGGAAAGAAATGTAGGAAAGAGGTTTTTTCTTGTCTCAGCTGAGCAGTAGAAAAATAACTCATTACAAAGATTAATAAAATCTGTTTGTTCTTCTGACAAATCATTCTCTGACGGTGTTTCGTTGTCGAATTTAAACTCTGTCAGTTCTTCTTTCTTCGCCGCCATTCCAAGTTGAATCAGAATGTCGCGCGCGGCTTCTTCTGACAACTCAACAGCAAATTTGAGCGCTTCATTTATTTCAAAGATCTTTTCAACTGAGTCCACTTTTGACAGGGAATTGGTGCCTTCAGCCTTTTTAGATGTCAGCTCTTCTTTCAGGAAATTCCCAGCCAGGTATTCTTGGACGGATTTGTGAATAAAGTACACGCCTTTTTCAGGATTCAAACTCGCCATATTTAAAACCTGAAAAAGGCCGACTTCAATCAGCCTCTCGATCAAACTGTAGCCAGCAGGTAACTGACTAACAGGGAAATAAAGCTGGCCTTGCAAAAGGGCTTCAAAGGCCAAGCGTCCTAATGCGTATAATTCATCTGAGTAATCTTTAACAACCACTGATTCAGCAGACTGTTTTTCACGCAAATGATCAAACAAAGTCTTGACAAATTGGGCGAAGATGTGTGCGCGTTCCTTTGGTAGTGCTTCCCGTTCTGTTTTCGTCCAGAGCAAGCATAACATTAATAAAAGAAGGGGAATTTGTGCTAGGTCGATTAGGTCGTGATCCTCTAAGTATTCAAAAAACTCTCGAACATCTTCATCATCTTTCAAAAATCTACGAGCAAACTCTACTTGGCGCTCATCATTAAAGCCGTCAATTTTGAATTGAGCATCACTACCATTTCTCAACGTCTCAGCTTTCATTTCCCTTGAAGTAATTACAACGCAACAATCTCTTAATTGGCTTTTTTTCCAGATTTTGAAGACAGGCGACTCGTTTTTTGAATTGTAAACATACTCATCGTAGCCGTCCAAGATAAGCAAGACTTTTTCTTGATGGCGACAAACGTAATCATACAGGTTGTCTACGGAAATTGAACCATTACTATCCAGCACTTCAGAAACCCTCAGAATGGACGAAACATCTTGGAGATCACTAACGTCACGTAATCTCACAAGAAGGACAAGATCAAATGCTCCTAATGTTTCAGAATATCTCTGCTGGGACCAGTCAAAAGTTGCTTTCTTCGTGAAAACAGTCTTGCCGATACCTAGGTGACAATATGAACAAACTGTCAATACGTCTTCAACAGATTTGTCAGTTTATTTTTATCATGTGAAGTGACGTGAAGTGGAATCTAAAATATTGAAATGTGAATTTTTAACTTTCATAAAACTTAAAGAGATTTTTTTTTTTACGGAATTATGTTTAAAACTTTTTATACCATATGCAGAGTGAACAACATATGGGTGGCCTTTGCCCCTAAAGTTAAGCCAAAAAGAAGTTTCCCTGCCACTAAGGGGGCATTTTGGAATTCTTAGCTTTGATTAAAAACTGAAGTTACATTCATCGATAATGGCATCTCATTTAAATAATCAAAATTATTCATAATAAAGACAATGGAAATGAATCCTTTATAAAACACAGACTATTTAGGGCGTTGTTTAAAGCTGGGTTATATGATAACCCGGGGTTAGTGCCAAATTTGAGTTCAGATATGAAAGCTTCAAAAGCAAATTCAGTTTAATTCTTTTTGTCTAAAATTTGATGATTAGATAATCTAAAACAAGTAGAGAAAAATCCAAGGAAACCTGGGTTAAAATTTATCCCCAGGGCCGACTTGTTCAAAGCTAGGTTAAGATAACCCACAGTTAGTGCGAGATTTCAATTCAGATTTGAAAGCTTAAAAAGCATTTCAGTTTTAATTTTTTTTGTCTACAAGTTGATGATTGGAAGCTCTAAAAATAACAGAGAAAATTATCCAAGAAAATACTTTTGAACACAAGAAAAAGAAGCCCAGGTTAAGCGCTAATTGGCCTTCAAACAACTGGGCCCAGGTTAGCGTAATACAGACTTCAACCAACTGGGCCAACTTCCAGTCATTAGTCTATTATGAAGGTTGTGGTGGAATTTTATCCTTTTTAGTTCTATCCTTTTAGCACTTGGCATTAAATAAACTTGAATTTCAGACCAAATTGAGTTAAAACATTTTTACCATAATAAACCACACTAATTGGAGCCTATACAGTGTATTGTTCTGATTGCTCTAAAGCCAATAGATATATATTGTTTATTATCAAACTGATTAACGGAAAAACTTTCTTTTTTAAGTTTTAATTTACTTATAACCAGCAACAGACCAAACTTTCCATTTAGCTAGACAGCATGAAAAAATCTACCCCACTTGGAATGTACAATACGTCAGCAAAACACTCAAGAAACCTGCACATCACCAGCTGATACAATGCATTTGCTAACAGCTTGTGTCCATTAATTATGCCGAAAGACCAATGGTTTCTGTGTTTACTGTTATTGTATATGATATTTGCATGTACTTATCCTCCTGTTTAAGACAATTAAATTCTTTACTTAATTCACTCACTCACCTGGCTGTCCATAAACCAAAATTCGCTTGGGTGCACGACGAGGTTCTCTGTGAGCAAAAATCTCAGTGTAGTGGTCAAGGTTTTCTTGTATCACTCCCCTGGGTGTCCTGTCATCCATGATCCAAGATAAGTCTGTATAGATCTTGTCAATATGAACAGCAGAGTTCTGGTCCCATGGAATGATTCTGACTTTACTACTGGTTTCATAAAGTGATCGCAGCTGTTTCTGGCACTCCTCAAGAAGTACAGAATCTATTATCAAGAATTTTTTATCATTTCCAAGAAGAATTTTTTAATAACTATATATTTTTTTACAAGAGGGGTCGACAGTCAATTTGCAGAAATATCATGAATAAAATAATACAAATTAATGAAAGGAAACAGCACCAGGAATGACCCAGTGATCATTTGATATTGTCCAGTGGATTTCAATCAGCAAGCAAGTCTTAGTGATCGTTCCTTTTATAATCTTTTTAGTGGGATTTGGTGGATGACAATAGAATATACTATACCAGCGGAAAGTTTGGGAGTGGACCCCCTTCCTCACATCACTTTCAATTAAACTGGGCAATTCCTAAATTAATAGAGGCCTTTACACATAACTCAAAGACAACTGAAACAAAGTCGAGAAGGTTTTCGAGAAGATAAGGGAATCTTGTTTCACTTAAAACAATGTCTGTCTCACCAAAATGAAGCCTTAGTTTATGTCCAACATTAAGGGAAAACATGGGGCAAGGAAGCGAAAAAAGAAAAGTTGAGTGGTTTGTGTCACTTTTCAAAACAAAACTGACATTTATTAGCATAAGGAACCAAAGGCAGCATGGTGTTCAATTTAAAGTACCATATATCCTTGAATAATAGCTGTCCCTCGAATAATCGCCCCCCTTTGATGGAAATATTTAAAATAATCACCTCCCTGGAATAATCACCCCCCTCCCCACCCCTCTTCCCATCTTCACTTTCTTTTATTCCCTTCCTGTCAAGTTGAAGTGGAATCAGTGATCCAGCAAAACTGATCAGTGATGATTCAAGCTCTGAAAATTACAATCAATGAACCAAATTTGGAACACTTAAAAAGCCAGTCATATTCAGTTTATTCGGATGTGATAATTTTTTGTTTTAATGGGATAATAAAACAAAATATTTAGGATACGACTTCCAGTGAGCAATATTTGAAATAATCGCCTCCCTCGAATAATTACCCCCTTTTGAGGCAAAAAAAGAAATAATTGCCCCGGCTGTTATTCGAGGAAATACAGTATTTTGGGCAGTTTTGGTTCTTTTTGGCCAGATACTGACCCTAAAGCGGCCTTTTTCAAACGGCATTTGTCAGCAAATTTTTTTTTTTTGGGGGGAAGGGATTAAATATCAGACAAAAAGAGACTGCTCTCTTTGCAAAGACCTGTCTTATTGCCATATTATTTGTAAATAAAAAAAGTGCAAGAGGGCTCAGATGTGACAAACAACATTAAAAGATATTAATGTTTATATTAGTGAAACCAGTGTCCAATCATTTAATCTGGAAAAACTCCTGGATTTATAGTGTTATTACATTGATGGAATAGTACCTGGCATCTGTTTGCCTGGCTGATTCTTTGCTGTCAAGTCTGTGAAGAAAAAAAGTGTTATAAATTTGAAAACACCTCAAAACAAATTTTACTTTTGGCCTTTGTTATTTGGTATTTTAATATTAATGTATGTATTTGAGTTTCAAACAGAGAAAAACTTGAACCATTAGGGGCATTTAATAGATAGGAGGTGTTTATTCTCGTTATTTAATGAACTCAACAAAACTTATGCAGTATGCTTTTGGTGGAAAGTCACACACTCCATCTACTGATATTTGCAGGCCGTCGTTTGACAATCGCGTTTTCAAGGATAATATTGAACCAGCCGACATAAAAATAATTATCTGAACAGAAAATTCATCACTATTAATAATTTATTCATTATCACTAATTAGAACAGGGATGTCACAATTTACCTTCATAGTGAGGCCATTCTTTAAAAACAACTGGATTATTTAACATGTTGGACACAACAGAAGCTGCCATGATGGAAGCAAATGACTTCCAGGAGTCATCAGAAGTGTTGCTATCATCAGAAAAATGTGATATCCCTTTAACAATCACCCATTCAATGTTCATATCATGAGCTGCAGCAAACAGTCCTGTAAGTAGTAGAAAAACAGACCAATAAAAGATGATTCTTTGCAGCCTAATTGGCTCTTAATTAAAAGCTTTGTCCAATCCTTTTTGTCAACATGAAAGGATCTAGCAAAACTGTAAATTTTTCTCTACAGTGTAATGACTAAATTTTATTGTGTTCTAATAAGCTTAATTTATGTTCCCTTGCAAAATATTTAACTTGTGAACTAGTACTTCTCCAAAATATTTTAATGTAAACACATATTGGTTGACGTTATTAATACCATAAGAGACTTGTTTGCACCCTATAATTGATCTGACAAAATTGCCAACCGTGGTCAACAAACCAATAAAGTACTGTGATTTTCCATGGTCATATAAGCTCAGTTGTCGAAAAGGACAATTTATTTAGAGTTCTGCTCTAGACCTCAAATTAAATGCTACATCAAATTGTTGTAATAGTTAAATATGTATATAATCTTACCTTCCCCTTCTGTTTCAACTGCAATCACGCGAGATTGAGACATACGGCGTTGTTTGGTCATAAATTGACTACCACTGAATATGTCACTGTCACGGTGTACCTGTACTGTTTTTTCACCCACTGGATCTTTTAATGGTGGATTCCAGCCTCCAGCTGAAAACAAGATAAGGTTGCCAATATTTCTTCTTACTGGAGTTGTGAATTGTTCAGTTGAAAGTTTAGAGGATACCACTACATCTCCTCGTTTGGTGTGTTCTGGGTTTATACCCTGGCAGCTGCCAACCAAAAAAGCAGCCTTGGGTCTCAGTTGCATCACGGCATTTTTAATAACATTTTGAGAGCCACCTGGACCAGAAGAACCTTTATAACATTTCATTAAAGCAACTTTCAGTGCCTCTTCTCCAGTTTCACCCATGGTCCCAAAGTACACGAATCCCAGATTCTGGTCATAACTTTTAAAAGAATTTTTCAAGAAAGCATAACAGGCTAAAAACTCGCAGTCTTCTACTGTCAACAAAAGAATGTCAACAGGAAGTTGGTCATCACTCCAAGGGTTTAACTTGTCTGGAAGATCTCTCATTTCAGGCACTTCAATACTTAGAGGCGGAGGAGGGGCATGATTTCTTGACATCTGATGATGAGGATCAGAACCTCCTTTTCTTTTACGGTCTTGATGCTGCGCCATTGAGGCTCAGTTAAAGATGTCCCTAAAGAGTATAAATTTAATTTAATAAGATCACCACCTTACCGTAAATGACTCCAACAAATTTTTTTATTAACAAATTACCTTTATGTCACAGCTTTATTTTAAGGGTCAAACCTCTTAATTATTATATTAGTGGACACCACTGTACAGTGACCAGGAGATGTGTCGACCTACAGGTAATTATAAGATCGAGATGTTTGCCTCTTTTAGTGACAAAGGTCAAATGCAGAGTTTGTAGTCTATGACCAGTGTTAGTGTCTACTTTTAGAAGAGGTGTCCATCCACTTCACAAAGGTCAAAATATGCAAACAGTGTTTGTAACTTCCTGGGTCCACAACTAGTTCTTGCTATGGAAAGGGGTCCATTAATTTTTACAAAGGTCAATATGCAGTGTTTGTAAGTGTCTGCAGTGACCAAGCAATTTATGAGAGACTACCAACCAAAAATACACTCTTTAATATTAATGACTGGGGCCATGACTAAGTCTCTATGTTTAGAGGAGAGGCCAATAATTATTACTAGCAAAGGTTTGACTGTACCATGAGGTTCAAACAAACAGTGATCAAGGCAATAGAAATGTTTGGAAAGTTAACAGTTTCTGGCCACTGTACCATTCTACTGACTGAGTACTGTAATCAATAGTATATCAATGAGTGCATCTAAATCAAATGTGAGGTAATGGTATAATACTTTAGTGATGCAAGAAAGCTTTAAAGCTTACAATGTTAACACCCTTTGCCATTTTACTGCAATCAATTTAATAAACTCAGCTAAATTACCTTCTCCTTTGATAGCTTTACACCATTCAACTAATTGTGTGTGTTTAATTCAAATGACATAAAATCCTGAAAATAATAAAAAGATGGTAAAGATGACATCACAATATGAGATATTATTTTGAAGCCATGCAACAACAACACCATGCACTGCCCCCGGGGGAGGGGGTACTCAACAAAGTTCTATACAGGGAGGCTCCGCCCCGAGGTCCAATGTAATTACCCTTTGATAACGTTAACAAGTCGGTTATCGATGTCGACAACTGACCCCTTCTTTATTAGAGATAAGAATCCGAATAATATTCCTACTTTTGTTGAAAAACTAGAAGTTGTTGATTGGTCTTCGATTCAAACTTGTGATGAGCCAGATATTGCGTACAAACGCTTTCATGAAATGTATACAAAGATTTATAATGATTGCTTCCCTCTCAAGAAGGTGACTAGAAAGCAGAGGCGCTTTAAAAAACCGTGGTTAACGAAAGCTCTTCTTAAATCCATTAAAACAAAGAATAAACTTTACAAAAAATATCTTCAAGTTCCAACAGTCAACAATTCTTCACTCTACAAAACATACAAGAACAAATTGAATCACGACTACACCTTGCGTTCGGCTAAGCGTTGGTATTATGAAAAGAAATTGGAAGAATATGCTAAATCAAATACACATGCGACCTGGAAAATTTTAAACAAAGTCTTAAATAGAAAAAAGTCAAGGCCTCAATTAAATACAATATTTAAGTCAGACGGTCAGGAGATTTCTGATCCAGTGGAAGTAGCAAATAGGTTTTGCAGCTACTTCTCTAGTATTGGTCCCAACCTCGCAAAGAAGATATGTACAGCTTCCTCCTTGTTCACATAAAGATTTTCTATCTGGATCATTTTGAGAATCAATCTTTTTTAGCCCAACAACAGCGGATGAAATTATTACCATTGCTCAATCCTGCTTCCGGGAAAGCGGCTGGACACGATAATATTCCAATGTCTAAAATTAAGGAATCCATTCAAATCATTTCGGGACCTCTGGCTCACATTATGAACTTATCGATCGCTTATGGCGTTGTACCAGATCAAATGAAAATAGCTCGTGTGGTACCACTGTTTAAAGCTGATGACCAGTCACTATTCACCAACTATAGGCCTGTCTCGGTTCTACCAAGCTTTTCAAAATTTCTAGAGAGAATCATCTATAATCACTTGTATGATTATTTAACTAATTTACATATTCTCTGTGATAACCAGTTCGGCTTCAGGAAAAACCACTCTACGACGCTTGCCTTGATTGATTTGAATGAAAAAATTTCATCTGCTATTGATCGTGGTAAATTAGCGGTTGGTGTTTTTTTAGATCTCTCTAAAGCTTCCGATACAGTCAATCATTCCACCTTATTTGATAAACTTGAACACTATGGTATACGTGGCTTGGCTCTGAAATGGATTAAGAGCTATTTTTCCAACAGACTTCAATTTGTAGAATACAATGGTTATGTTTCGTCTTGTGCTAATATCATGTGTGGCGTTCCCCAAGGTTCAATACTAGGGGCTTTGTTTTTTCTGCTCTACATCAACGATAATTATAATCAACACGTCAACAATATTACAACTGACATTATTTGCCGATGATACAAACGTTTTTGTGTCTCCCAAGGATAAAGACTGCCTGACTAATATACTGAACGTTGAGCTAAATAAGTTGTCATTATGGTTTAGAGCTAACAGGCTTTCATTAAACTTGAAAAAAACCAAATTCACTGTATTTAAACCATGCCAAAAGCGTACAAATCAAACTATTCAACTTTTAATTAATAGCCAAAAAATTGATCGATTAAAAAAAACAGTTTTCTTGGGAGTAATCATGGATGAAAATTTAAATTGGAAATCTGAAATCTCACGTCGCCAATAAAGTTTCTAAATGTACAGGAATTATTCGTAAATCCAGTTTCTATTTATCCACGAAATCCTTACGAACACTATATATTTTTCTCTAGTCTATCCATACTTTTTTTACTGCAACTTAGTTTGGGCCTCCACTTACAGAACTAACCTTATTTGTCTTGAGATTTTACGGAAACGTGTGATCAGAACTATAGCTAAAACCACTTTCGATGCACATACTGATCCAATCTTTCAAAATCTTGGTATCTTAAAATTTCATGATATATACTTAATACAACTAGGCTTATTCATGTACTCCTATCAAAACCATACTCTACCTTTAAAATTTCATTGTAAATTTACTTTACAAAGTCAAATTCATTCGTATAATACAAGAAACTCGTGTAAATTTCGTCTGCCTTTCTGTCGTACTCGAACCAAACAATTTTCCGTTTTTTATCAAGGACCTAAATTTTACAACACCTTAAACACCAACATCATCAACGCTTCCTCACCTTTTTCCTTTAAAAGAGCACTTAAGGCATTTATTTGTAATAATTATTAGTATACTCCAACAGAAATCTTGCGAAAAAGCCTTTTAATATTCAACATTATTTGTAAACTTCAGTAATATTGATTAGTTTAATTTTCCACCTGATATTATTTTGTATCCGTCGCTGTAATTTTTATGCCATCTTCGAAAAATTGTAATTGAGGAGGCCTAATTAACATAAGCTCTATAGTTTCCTTTAGGCCTCCTCGCCATTTCTTCCTACATTTTTTTTGGCATTTCTTTGTAATTATTGTCATCGTGTGGCAAATAAATAAATACAAATACAAATACAAATATATTTTTCAAAGGCCCTTTTTGAGGGGCTTATTTTTGGAGGGGCCTGTGTTGGGAAAGGCTTATGTACGGAGGGAAATTTGCGTTATAAAATCAGTTGGGCTAGCTTGTAGTGGAAATGAAATTTACCATTTTTGCTTTGTTTTACTTTGTACTCGAGGGCAAATTCTAAGTACAAGCCCCCCGCGGGGCTTATATTCAGAGGGGTGATTTAACGGAAGGTTTTTTGCGTTACGATTTTGGGGGGCTTATACATGGAGGGGCTTATTTTCAGAATTTTACGGTACCATTTTGACAGAAAAGGTACCCCTTTCGTCTACCTTCTTTTGACAAAATATGGTACTGTCCCTTTCACATACCTTGTTTAGAACTTTGCATGATCCCTTTTTAACTGCTGATAAGGCACTTTAAGTAATTAGGTCCAATGATCTGCACAATTGGGTCTGCTTTAAAAGAATGCATAACAATTTAAGGTCAATGCTGAAATCAAACAGGCTTACGAATTATTTTATTAGAACAAATTAAGTGAAACTGTTGGCCCCGCATAAAATGTGGCAGGTCATCAATGAGCTTCTCATAAATCCGGCAGGTCCTCTGTTAAGGAATTAAGTCTGAATGGAGTTTCTATGACTAATTCAACTGCTTTGTCAAACACTTTCGATGATCACTTCTCTACAATTGGCCCGAAACTGGCTTCCGAAATACCTTAAAACAATGGCCCCAGTTTTCAGGAATTTAAATATCTCTGGCCTTTAAAGTGAAAGATTCCAAATTCATCCCCAGTGATAGTAATCAGGTGTTGTCTCTTTTTAAAAAACTGAATAAATCTGGTCCAGATGAAATGTCTAGTCAGCTTATTATGGATTGTGCTTTATTCAATATTGCACCTCACATTATTTCAATTACATTTAATAGTTCTTTATAAGCTTATGGTATATTTCCTGATAATTGGAAGTCTGCAAGGGTTACTTCTGTATTTAAGTAAGCAGCAAAAGAAGCAACATAGACAATTATCGTGCAATATCAGTTATCTCTATCATTGGCAAAGTATTTGAAAGAATTATCTATCATCAACTCTTTACCATTTATTGGATCATAGTATTTTGTCTAAGCACCAAAATTCGGATTCCATGCGCTCTATTCAACAGTTACAGCATTTGACACAGTCAGTCATGATATTCTACTGTCTAAATATACCTCTTTATAGTTTATCACGGTCATGTTACCCATAAATGTGTTTCCTCCTATTTGGATAATCATACTCAGAAATGTCTTGTCAATGGTTCCCTTTCAGAATGTTGCACCGTTAAGTGTGGTATTCCCCAAGGAACAACATAAGGGCCTCTACTGTTTTTGCTATATATATATCTATATATATATCAATGATTTGCCCAATAAATATTGTCTGTTTCATTTTAAACGAAGAATTTATATTGATGATACCCATCTGACTTATTCGATTGGCAATATCCACTCCATTCAGT